GCTCAGGCTGTGGGCTGAGGAAATGCTTCTGTCCTTGAACCTCCTCATCCAAGTCCTCCATTACAGATGCCCATAAAAAGCAGGCAGAGCTTTGACCACATGGCCATGTGCGCCATCTTAACTTTTCTGACCATACTCTGTGGAAGCCCACGGCATTTTGGATCCCGGTCCTGCAGTCTCTTTTTTAATAGCTCGGCTTGGCTGGCCAAGAAGAGGAGAATTGAAATCCTCTCCCAAAGGCTAAAACCAGGCAGCTGAGAATTCACATTTTTGCTACTAAATGTTGGTAGCTTGATCAGCGGGGCCTCTGGGAACTGCCAGGTGGGGCCCAGGTAGCTCCATGAGAGCCAGGGGTTGCCCTCCCCTGCAGGAGAAGGCTTTGTGTGTTTGGCTGAAGGAACAAGGAAAGGGAGGGGGAAAGAAGCCAGAAAGGAAGTGTGGTTGGGCCAAGAGCTGCGTGTTGACCTTGTGGAATATATCCAAGCTATGTATGAGTGGTGCAGTGGAGTTATTGGGGAGGGGGGATGTATTTATTACATTTATTTGTATGCTGCCCACTTGAGAACTCTCTAAGATTTAAGCCCTATCCACTTTTTCATAATTAATTCTACCACATCTGCTTATTCAGACATTGCCGTTAAATTTAATTTTGATCAAACTCCAGCAGCAGCAAAGGATGGGACTGGGACTGCTGCCTCAGAAGGCTGGTGTGTGTGTGTGTGTGTGTGTGTGTGTGTGCACCCGCATATGTGCACGCGCAGTTCTTCCCAGACTACAGCTGTTGCACCTATGTTTTAAAGCAGTGGCAACTCCCAGAATTCCCTAGCACCCAGCAAGCTGGCTAGGGAATTCTGGGAGTTGAAGTCCACACATCTTAAAGTTGTCAAGTTTGAAAAACATTGCTTTAAAGTCTCTGCAAATCTAGAGGACTGTATTGTCTAAGTGGACAGTTGATCTGCTCCTCTTCTGTAAAATAATTATATATCTGGGAGACACAATTACTTTTCCTTTTGTGGGATCTCCTCCATGAGAAAGCTTTCTGGATGAGGATTGCAGAAAACAGCAAATTTCCCAGCTGCTCAGGGAGATACTAAGCCGAATTCCCTTCATCCCAATTGTAGGGGAAAAAATTAGGAAGACACTTTGTATTTTTGGGTTCCTAGCTCAGAAAAAAAAAAATGCATTGATGAAAACCATGTCCAATATTCTAAATATGGAAGGAGCAACCTATTTATTCTTCAGATTTGTATATAGAAAAAAATTAATTGAGAAATTTCCTTTAAAAGAACGCAGCCAAATGCCTTTATATGTATATACACCCTTATATATTTGGAAGGCAACAGTTATAACCTCAAAACTTTAAATAAAAACCAATGATTTAATGTAATTTAGGTAATACATATGAGCAGCTTAAATAGAATTCTGAGTTACCAAGCACATGCAGAGTATTTTTTTCTCCAGAGAAGCTCATCAGAGAGAGAAAGAGAATGAGTTTCAACTTTTGTTAATGTTAAGAGGAAGATGTAGCTGTAAGATGAAGGCTCACATTTTAATGAGGATCTGCCATCAGTAAAAACTGATCCTCTCTGTGTTTTTCCCAAAGATAAGCTATATTTTTTGGAGGCTGGGGCCTAGTTCATAAAATGAAAGAACATTTGGAACATGGCTGACTTTCTTTACTTTGTGGCATTTTCCAAACAAAGGGAAATTGCAATTTCCTTTTCAGCTGGATTTGTACAGTCCATTGCCCTGAGCTAGAGACAGTATCTCTTTTGAATTGCATGTATTGTTCTAGTTCTTGGTCACATTTCAAGAGCAGGGGTTGGGAAACGGAGGCATTCCATCCAGAGTATTGGGGGCGGGCAAGTGTTTGATTCTTTCTCCCCGCTGCTTAATATCTACACCAGTGTTGTCCAAACTTGGCCACTTTAAGATGAGTGGACTTCAACTCCCAGAATTCATCCATGGCTGGCTGGGGACTTCTGGGAGTTGAAGTCCACCCATCTTAAAGTGGCCAAGTTTGGACAACACTGGTGTAGATATTAAGCAGCGGGGAGAAAGAATCAAACCCTTGCCCGCCCCCAATACTCTGGATGGAATGCCTCCGCTTCCCAACCCCTGCTCTTGAAATGTGACCAAGAACTAGAACAATACATGCAATTCA